CTTTCAGGGGAAATTCTTGTCCTCAAATTGCAATTATCACAATTGAAAATGATTGGATATTTCCTTGAGAAACAATGAGATCTGCCTGGAATTTCCTTCACCCATAGTAGTGTACAAGCAACCTTCATCAAACATGCTAATGTTGATTATAAATCTTTTCAGTTCTCACCTATGGTTTTAATTGTACGAGATTGGTAAGCCTTTTACAACTAATCTCACCCAAAGTCATTAAATTTTGTTTTTGTAAAGTAACATTACTGAATGCCAAATTCGCCATTTCTTGGGCTAGATGCACTCTCTTGAGTGCATTTGCAGCTCCTTATACCTCGACATTATGTTGCTTCTCCATCTCAGAGGCTGGACAATAAGTATTTGCAGGCTACTTGATTAAGCAGGCATCACAACCTAAGAAGTCACACGACAGTAGTCCAACAGGTTTATTTGAAATCACAAGCATTCGGAGCAGAGTCCCTTCGTCAGGTGAAGTGACGAAGGAGCAGCGCTCTGAAAGTTTGTGATTTCAAATAAACCTGTTGGACGATAACCTGCTGTCATGTGACTTCTGACTTTGTCCATCCCAGTCCAAAACCGGCACCTCCACGTCATAATCTCATCAAGTCAGCTGTTTGTGGGCACTCTTGATCAAGTTGTTAAATAGAATTTAAGATTAACTAATTTTCTTTCCACCCTTATCCTGGAGAGGGAAATCAATTCAGACACCCTAATTCTGACTCAGTTGTTACGCAAGCTAGGCTGACTTAGCAGCATTATTGCCTTTCAGTAAGGAGGTTAGACTACAAGTCCACTTTGAGAGGGTATGTGGAGGCTGAAATCACAAGACTGATACATTGTAAGTGGTGTAAGCTTTCTGATCAGACATGAAACTGAGGACACATAGAGTTATACAACATGGAAACAGACGCTTTGGTCCAACTCGTCCACCCCTACCAGATCTCATTCTGTTTGACAGCATATGGCCCATATCCCTCTAAACCCTTCCTACTCATGTACCGATCCAGATGCCTTTTAGATGTTGTAATTGTACCAGCCTCCACCACTTCCTTTGGCAGTTCATTCCATACACACACCACCCTCTATGTGAACAAGTTGCCCCTTATGTCCCTTTCAAATCTTTCCCCTCTCACCTTAAACTTGTGCCCTCTCGTTTTGGACTCCCCTACCCTCAGAAAAAGACCTTGGTTTTCACCCTATTCATGCCCCTCATGATTTTATAAATCTCTATAAGGTTACTCCGCAGCCTCCAACGCTCAGGGAAAAAAGTCCACGCCTATTCAGCCTCTTCCTACAGCTCAAACCCTCCTGTCCTGGCAACATCTTTGTAGATCTTTTCTGAACCTTTTGCAGTTTAACAACATCTTGCCTATAGAAGGGAGACCAGAACTGAACGCAGTATTCCAAAAGTAGCCTAACCAATATCCCTTACAGCCACAACATGATGTCCCAACTGCTGTACTCAGTGTTCTGGCCAATGAAGGCAAGCATGCCAAATGTCTTCTTCATTACCCTTCTACCTGCGACTCCACGTTCAAGGAACTATGCACCTGCACCCCTAGGTCTCTTTGTTCGGCAACACCTCCAGGGCCCTACCATTAACTGCATAAGTCCTGCCCTAGTTTGCCTTATCAAAATGCAGCATCTCACATTTATCTAAATTAAACTCCATCTGCCACTCCTCTTATGGTTGAAAACCTTGTGACACTATAAGAGAACATGGGAGTTTCTCCCTTTGTTTGATCTATTATCTCAACCACCAGCACCAAAACCAGGCTGACTGGTTCATTTATTAATTTTCGATTTGTAGGATGACTACCCAAACTGCTTACCATATTTCTTAATAATGCTCAATGTACTTCAAAATTATTGTAGTTAAGGAACTTTGGTAGATGGATACTGCATTTATATACCTCTGGACCAACATTACAAAATTTTTATTCAATGTTAAAATGTAAACATTTCTCCTTAACAGATGTTGCCGGTAATAATATAACAGTAAATATCTAACCATTGGTTTCACGTTTTTCATGTATAAGGTGAGCTCAATTATTGTTCTGAATAATTGTCCTTCTTGCTCTCTTTTTTAAATGTAAAATGTAAGTACGACAATCAATTGCAATTATCTCCATGAATAACAGCTGTCTTTACAGTACAGAAGTCACAAATCATATACTTCTTTTTTTCTCTCCCAAAGGGAGTCAACCTTCAAATAAGTGTTTACAAAACTTGATGGGCTGAAGGGCCTGTTTCCACACTGTAGGGATTCTATGATATGACAAGAACTATCCCCCTTCCCATATGAAGATATAACAGCAATCATTATGTACTCATTTCTGTGAATCTCTTAATTTTCATAAATTGTGACCGGGAACATTTGTATTGCGTGTGAATTGCATAGAAATAATAAAAAAGTATCTTCAGAAAAGGTAATCATCCCAAGGCATTCCACAGAGAAACAATCAGATTAAAATGGACGCTGAGCCAGAAAAGAAAAATGTGCCAGGACAAAATGAAACCTTAGCCAGAAGGTGAAGGGTGATAGGGAGGTGTATGGATGCACAAATGGATTTTCAGAGTGTAGCCAAAACCATTTGTTGTGGGAGAAAGGAAGCAGTGATGTACAACTAGGTGGCATGGTGGCTCAGTGGTTAGCACTGCTGCCTCACAGCACGAGGGACCCGGGTTCAATTCCACCCTCGGCCAACTGTCTGTGTGGAGTTTGCACATTCTCCCCGTGTCTGCATGGGTTTCCTCCAGATGCTCGGTTTCCTCCCACAGTCCAAAGATGTGCAGGTTAGGTGGATTGGCCGCGCTAAATTGCCCGTAGTGTCCAGGGATTTAGGTTAGGTGGGTTAGACATGGGGAAATGCAGAAGTAGGGGAATGAGTCAGGGTGGGATGCTCTTCAGAGGGTGGTGTGGACTTGTTGGGCCGAATGGCCTGTTTCCAAACTGTAGGGATTCTATGAACTGGCCATTGGCACAGAAATACATAGTTCTTTTGAGATGGGCTTGTAAAACTGGAGGACATCACAGACAGAGACACATGTGAAATAAGAAGGGGTTTATATACAAGGATGGTATCTTTAAATTGGGAATCAGAAGTTAATGTTGAAGTGGTAGGCAAGACGGAACTGGTGCAAAATGAATACAGACAGTATATTTTTGGATGAATTTAAGTTGACAGAAGGTGGAGGTTGGGAGTTGAGTCAAAATAGCATTGAAATAATCCAGCAAATCAGTGAACCACAACTCTCAACCTTTCTAGTCTACACAACAGTGCACATGGCATCAGATATCATCTCTGGTCAAACTGTACTGCAGCTATGAAGTATATTGGACAATTAACAAAAATGTCAGTGCATCACTATAAAGAGTTAAAATAAACATAACAACCAATGTAGATTTCACTGTATACGGGAAAATTTCAAATCAATTTATAGTTAATTTACAAAACAAGTGCAAAACAAAGCAACGAAAATAAAACCTTCAGAAGGCCAAACAGAATCCCTCCAAATCTAAACTGTGATTACTTTAATGGCTTTTTTTTTTGCTACATTCGCAGAATGTAATGATTTTTCTCTGTTAGCACAAGTAATCATTGCCAGATGGTAATTACAGTCAGCTAGGTGCAGAGCAATATATCTCAACAGTCCAGGTTCACTGCCCCTGCCCACCACCCTCACTTTACAATCAATGAACTCAGCAAAACCAAAACAAATTCTGTTTAAAGATGACTTTATACTTCACTGCCGGTTTCTGCCGAACGGAACTGCTGATTCCAAGTAACCATCCACACAGCAAGACTCGCTGCCAGACTCTGGGCACCACGCAGAGCTGACTAATCTGCTAGCAACCTCACAATATGTCCCTTGATTGAGTATGGCATCTGCTCAGGGTCATGAGCTTCAACCATGGGCCTTCATGCAACTGGACAGGCCAATTCATGACCTACAGATGGGCATATAGGAAAAGGCACTCTAAACGTAGGCTGCCCCCTCTTTTCCTACCAGAGGGCTGCATTCTGCAGGATCACCATCTTTCCAGTCACAAAAAGAAAACGTTTCACATTTTGCAACCTAGGATGTTAAAAATTGGTGGATAATTTCGCAAGTGACCATCTGGAGAAAAAAGGCATGTCATGCAAGTTACCAAGACTCTAAATTGATATCACTGCCTTTGAAGAGATCTGCCTTCCTTTGGACAGGCAGCTAAAGGAATGAGCAGTTGATACAGTTTCTACAGGAAGGGTAAAACTGACAGCGACCCTTGTATGCAGGAAGTTGGTCCTCTATCCAGAATAAGATCTTGGATGCACTGCTGGAGCTGTCCATTTGTGTGAATGAGACTGACTGCATTTCACTTACTGTGCCATAACCAACATGCCACTGTGATGTATGCTAATTGCACATCTCTGGGCTGTGATGAAGATGTTAAGGGAAAGTTCTATTCTGACTTTGGTGAAATCCTCACTACTACCCCAAAAGAAGTAAGAAAAAATCCTTCTTCGGGGGGCTTTAATAGCAGATCCTTGTTTTACAAATACAGTAACCAAAAACAAGGAGAATTTTCTGAATTTATTCACGATAAACCAGGAACATACATAATAAGGACAAACAGTCCCTTTTTAGTGCTTTGGTTAGAATGAGGGATTTTCCATTTTTAAGGAAAACTAAGAGGTTTTGTGAACTAATTTCTCAAAATACCAGTAAAACGTTATGAATCCTGAATACCAGAAATGGAATTTGCCATTCGGTCACTGTAGCCCTTGGTTACAATGATGCATTAAAGCTACATAAACGTTTGGAAATAAATGTTAGATAAAATAAACTTGAAATAATTGTAAACTACCCCCAGACCCACTCGATCAAGACCTGACCTTCTCTTTGAAGAGAAACGCTAGACTTGGTTGTGAATGCAACTCTTCATTCATGTGGATAAAGAAACACAACAGGGGTCTTTTAATGTTCTTTAAGTAAGCTGTTACCTTAAGGGATGGAATCTCCACGCTGTCATTGACATTGATAGATCCAGAGAGGATGGTACCCGTCATCACCGTGCCCTGACCCCTGATTGAGAAACAGTGGTCAACGGCCATGAGGAAGGATCCAGACGGATCACGTTTTGGCATGTATGTCTGTGATATCAGGAGCTGCGATGGGGAGAAACAAAACGGCAGTCAGGAAAGTTCAAAGAATGGAAAGAAACTGGATACGTTTTTTTTAAATTGGGCATCATATTTCAGGCATATTATTTATGACTGAAGTATAACCTGAGATTTCATGATCTGTTTACAATTTTCATCTGTTTACTACGCACTTGAATTTCACTGAACATAATTGTTAAGTATGTGTGAAATCTTTGCACACGTACTTGAGTTAAATGAAAATACCCAGCAGTACAATTACAAATCCACTCTTCCCAACTTACATATGAAAAGGAGAAGGTCCTTCAGTTCCTCCAGTCTATTTCACAATTCAAAGCTGATCAGTATCAGTGCATAGAACTATGCTGAATACAATTGGCCTGATGTGGTCTAACCAGAGCTTTGTGTTGCAGTAAAACTTCCTTTTCTTTATAACATGCTAGATATAAAAACTAACATTCTATTTGTTTCTGAAAAATTATTTTTGCTGCCTGATTTTAGAGATCCTAGTACATACACCCGTAACTCTCTTTGTATCTCCACTATTATAACTTTTCACCCTTTAAATAATAGTTGGTTGATGTTTTAATGAAGCAGGTTCCTGGGCCCACTTGGTCTCATCCTCCCATAATACCAATCCTAACATCCTCCTGTTACATCATTATAGAACAATGTTAGAATGTCTGAACACAATTGTGAGAACTGGAAAACATTGGAGATAATAAATATTTACCTGAAGGCTAACAGTGTTTAAACTATAAAAAGCAAGAGAAAAAGACTGAATTTATTCAAACAACATCTTTATAAGTTTTGACTCTCAAAGTATGTACTAAAATAACATCATGTGTCTTTCAGGTCTGCTCAAAAACTTCCAGATATACGTTTGCATAGATCAGTAACTTTCTAGACTGGAGAGGTTACAGTGTGCTCCATTTTATTTCTGGGCCATACTTCATGATAGATGCTTTGGACTTAGCGTGGGTGCAGTGCAGATTCACCATAACTATACCAGAGCTGAAAGGGTAAAATTATGAGAACAGGCTGCACAAACTGCACTTACTGGTCCCTCATGTATCAGATTCAGGGTGATCTGATTGAGGTAACTACATGAACAAACCTGGAGGATATATTTCCCTCCCCACCCCTATCTGCCTTCCGTAGAGACCGCTCTCTCCGCGACTTCTTTGTCCGCTCCACACTCCCCACTAGCCCCACCACCCCTGGCACCTTTTCCTGCAACCGCAGGAAGTGCTACACCTGCCCCTACACCTCCCCTTTCACCTCCATCCAAAGACACAAAAAAACCTTCCACATCAGACAGAGGTTCCCCTGCACATCCGCTAATGTGGTCTACTGCATCCGCTGCTCCCGATGTGGCCTCCTCTACATCGGGGAAACCAAGCGTAGGCTCGGAGACCACTGTGTAGAGCACCTGCGCTCGGTTCGCAACAAACAACAACACCTTCCAGTCACAAACCACTTCAACTCCCCCTCCCACTCCCTGGGTGACATGTCCATCCTGGGCCTCCTCCAGTGTCACAACAACGCCACCCGAAAACTTGAGGAGCAGCACCTCATATTCTGCTTTGGGAGCCTGCAGCCCAATGGCCTAAATGTGGAATTTACCAGTTTCAAAATCTCACCACCCCCCATCTCATCCTATGACCAACCCTCATTCCCACCTCCTTGACCTGACACAACCTGTCCATCTTCTCTCCCACCTATCCACTCCTCCCACTTCACTGACCAATCCTCACCACTGCCTACCTGCACTCACCTATCACCATTCCACCTACCTTCCCCAGCCCCACTCCTCCCCCCTCTATTTATTTCTGAGCTCCATTCCCCCTCCCTCATTTCTGAAGAAGGGTCCCGACCAGAAATGTAAGCTTTCCTGCTCCTCTGATGCTGCCTGGCCTGCTGTGTTCATCCAGCTCCACACTGTGTTATCTCCGACACCAGCATCGGCAGTTCCTACTATCTCTAGGTGATATAAACCCACAAGTTTCCACAGCTACTTTGACTACACTTGTTTATCCTCTGTTTTCTTTAATAATTCAATTCCATTCTCACAGTTTCTCCATATCAATCACATCTGTTCCGATGATGCTAATTTCTATACCAGTGCTTCCAATATGTCTTCCTTTTTCCCTCACTCAAGGGTTCCCACCCGTTGTGGTTGACATAGCCTGCCAACATGCCCAATTCATTTTACTTACTTCTGCTGTCACACCTTCCCCTCCTTTCCAGAACCATCATAGGTTCCCCTCATCCTCACCTTGCACCCTCACAAGCTTCTGTATTCAACAGATAATTTTCCGTCATTTCCATCTGTTCTAATATGATTCAACTACCAAACACATCTTTTCCGGGACTGTTCCTTCCACAATACCCTAGCCCACTCCTAAGTTAGTCTTAACACCCTTTCTCTTACCGAGGGCATCTTTCCAAGCAAGCACAGGGGATGCCACACCTCTTGTACCTTCCCTCTTCTCACTGTCCAAAACCCCAAACACTCCTTAAAGGTGAGACAGAAATTTACTTGTATTTTTGTCATATAATACACTGTATTCACTGCTTACAATGTAGTCTCACATACAATGTGGAAAATAAATGCAGACTGTGCGCTTTGGAGAATATCTTCATTTCTGTCTATTAGTACAACCCCGAGCATCCAGTTGTTTGTCGTCTTAGTTATCCACATTGTTGCCATGACTCCATACTGAGTTGGACAACTTTAGATCATAACCCCTACCTTCATCTTTTGTTTCTTCCCCTTTTTCCTACCCAGTTGCTTTAAAAGTTGATTTTCATCATGTTTCTTTATCCCTCCATGTTGCATAAAATATTTTTCATGTTGCAGTTCATGCTTCATTTGGACACAAGCTTTGATTTGTCACTGTATCCATCATCCCACTTTTTGGCTGTTGCATCATGAAATCTTTTGTTATTTAATCTCTCCCCAGCCTCCACCTTAACATAGTTCTTCCCCTCTATTCCTCCTGCAACCCCTTCCAGTGGCTTGAAAACTCTTTAAACTTCATTTCTCTTCAATTGCAATGAAAGAGCATTGACCTGAAATGTTAACTCTGCTACTCTTCACTGATGCTGCCTGACCTGCTAAGTTGTTCCACCCTTTTTTCTAGTTTTATTTCAGAATTCCAGTACCTGCATTATTGTGCTCTGGACGAGGTCATAATTCGGCCTCAATTTCCTCTGGTGGAAACCCAGGATAGGGCCACAATCATAAAAATGGAGCCAGATCATTGAGGGCTGATGTCAGAAAGCATTTCTTCACACAAAGAGACAGTAGAAATTTGGAACTCTCCCAACCAGTCCTTGAGATCAAACGGAAGTAGGCCACTCAGCCCATCGAGTCTGCTCATGGCTGATCTGATAACTCTCAACCACATTTACCTTCCTTTTCCCCATAACCCTTCCCTTACTGATTAGAAAGCTGTCTATCTCGGCCTTAAATATATTTAATGATAGCCCTCAGCAGTAAAGAATTCCACAGATTCACCACCCCGAGAAAAACCTGCTCCTCGTCTTAAATGGGAAACTCCTTACTTCGAGATTATGCTCTCCAGTCCTAGACTCCCACAAGGTGTAATAACCTCTCTGCATCTATCTTGTCAAGTCCCCTAAGAGTTTTATACATTTCATTAAGTTCTCTTCTCATTCTTTAAACTCCAGTGAGTGCAAACAGTACCTACTCAGCCTCTCCTTACAGGAAAATCCCTCCACATCCAGGATCAACCTAGTGATCAAAAATGCTTTAAAGTCAGAGGGGTAACCAAAAATGGAATGGTGGTCAATTGCACATGTCAAAACCGAGATTAACTGAGATTTTTTTTGATGAGGGTCATTAAGGGATATGAAACCATGATGGGGGCCACAGAGTTGAGATTCAGATCAGCTCTGTTCTACTTGAATGATGGAATAGACTCAAGCGCTGAATGCTTTCCTTATGGTTCTATGGTGCAAAGTTTCTCGTTTGCTGCTGGCCTGAAAGTATATATATTGTTCTAGACCTTTAAAAAAAAAGAACCTAAAGCTCCAACAGTCCCTCTGATTTAACCGTCCTGATATAGAGTCAGCCCTCAGCAATCCTCTCCAGAAAAAGTATTCTCAGCTATCCATGAGAACAACTTGAGAATGAGACTATCTCACATATTCATACATCTGTCGATGCAATCCATCTGGTTGGATTCTGATCCACTTGGCCATGCTCCTGGGACAGTGGCAGAGAGAAACTCAGGAGATAGACAGGAGGAAAGAATAAAAGGCAGGTCACTTATACTCAAGACCTAGAATATACTCAATAACTTATACTCAAGTACGATGCATTGTAGTTTGAGGTGCTGTATTCACACAGGACAGTTTTCAAGTTGATTCCTGATTAGACTAAAGGCTACATTGATCTTTTGTTTTAGTTTTACAAAAAAGCAGTGATACAGAAGGAACCTTAATCCCAGTCTCTCCATGAATATTATACCACTTACTAGTCACCACCCTTCTCCCTCAAAGCTTAATCTCCCGATAGACTACGCCAATGTTTCCACTGCTCATACTCTGCCATCTTTATAAAATTGCCAAGATTGTTTGCTGAATTTGCCAGATAAGAGAGAAGTCAGTGTGGGGTAAACTGTCCCCGAGGGGAGAACATACCTCGATAAGTTCTGAAATGCCCTGCGCAGTTTCTGTCTCTGGGGCATCAGGTCCTCCAGGCTTGGCAGCAACAGGAATGATGGGACATCCACTAAACCTACAAAACAAATTGCTAAGTAAAATAGCAACCTACATACAGTAGTAAGACATTTGTGAATTCTGTGATTGAATGCATCAATTGTTTCTTCCCTTCTGAAAATACTTCTCCCTTTCTGAACAATTTCAATCAACATGTTTCAACACGGAGCACTGATGACTCATGTGGTCATACTTTAGATTATTCATACATAGGTACTTTGTAGCCAAACATGGTCTTCTTCTTATTACATGTCCACACAGTGCTCATTGGCTGACAGTCGTGAGTGGGGACTGTGGCTCATCTCCTCCTCCTTAGCTCAGGAAAGTGGTCCTACTGCTGGTCCAGGAACTTTGGAGAAGACGGGAATTCAGCTGGAGATATTCTGTGCTGGTTAAATTTACCACCAGTCTTCTCTCTCTCTCTCTTTCTAATGAGAGCAGCCCTATGGTCCACTGAGATTATGGCAACTTTACCTTTTACCATATTCTGTTCTGCATGATGTAGTGCTATACTTTATCTACCTGGACTAGATTCATAGGGTTATACAATACAGAAAAGGCCCTTCAGCCCATCATGTCTGTACCAACAGTAACTACCACTAAAGGTGCATTAATCCAATTTCCTGCACTTCTCCCATACCTTTGAATGTTATGATATTTGGAAGTATTCACCCAAATATCTTTTAAAGGTTATAAGGTTTCCAGCCTCCTTTACCTTCCAAGGCAGTGCATTCCAGATTCCCACCACTCTCTGAGTGAAAAGGTCCTTTCTCAAATGCCCTCTGAATCTCCTGCTCTTTACGCTAAAACTATGTTGCCTCATGATTGACCCCTCAACCAAGGGGAACAGCTGCTCCCTACTCACCCTACGCATACCCATACTATCCTTATCCATATCTCAGGTAGCTTCAGACTGACAAGTGATCGATTGCAGTGTGATTGCACTTTGCGCTGTTCGCAATTGTTACATCATTGCCTTGTATTTCAAATGCTAACCACTGATAGGCAAAGTTTAAAAGAAGTCACACTGCCTATCCTACTGAGAATCACTGTTTACAAAAAGCTCAATATGAAAAAAGTAATTGCAAAACAGTCATTGATTGGTACTGAAAGGCATCATTTAGCAGTCAAATATTTTATAAATTAACATTTTATTCAAAATTAAATCACAGAAGTTGAAATGTAACAATTGTAAACCCATTCCAGATAACAATACTCATCAGGGAAAATGAACTCAAAAGTATTTGAGGAGGAGTCGTTCCAATCTGACTGAGTGATGGCTTACAGAGGTCACTGTCTCTGAGCACTGTTTACAATTTTATTGTGAAAAAAAACAAGCATATTTTCTAAAAATAAAACAAAATCTGTGTTAGAAAAGATGACAACAGGAACATTGGAAGAAAGACGGTGTAATTGAAAACACGAACAGAACAGGAGGAATACAACATCTTACTCACCACACTAGCAATCTGTCTGAGATCTTCTCCAGTGTTCTAGCAAAACCCAACAGAAGTTAAACTAACTACACCTTATTTTATGCTTCAGCATTTTACAGTCTTCAGGATTGAACATTAAGTTCAACAACTTCAGACCACAGTCTCCGGTCTCTCGGTGTCTTGCTTGTGTGGACCTGATCTTTTTTCTGCTATTAACACAAACAATTGATGCCTACTCTCATCTCTTTCTCTTTTTTATAACAGTTAGCACTTTCTTTGCCTTTTTCTGGGGGGAACTTTTCCTAATTGTTTCAATTGCTCCTGCTGCCCCCTTTCTCAACAGCATAAAAACAATCATTTTTCTAGCCTGCTTCAGTTCTGTATAAGAGTTATATTAGACTTGAAACATTAAGTTTCTTTCTGTCTCCACAGATGCTGTCAGGCCTAATTCTAACTCTATTCTCCAAGACTTTCTGTTTTTATTTCCAAACAGGAGTGATTGTAGTCATATTTAATAGTCTCGATACAGTGACTGATGAATGAGGGAGAGAATTATGTCAAGGAAACAGGAAAGAATAAGACAGCAGGCAAGTCCGAGGTGAATATTGCATATCCGTATACTAGGTAGTGAAATAAATGAGAGTGAATTTACCTCACCATGTATAGATTTTCCCCTGAAGTTCAATAAACACTTTCCATTTGAAAACATGACACACAATCTCCTTGTCACCAGCTGCAGTATAACACAACCCAGTTTCCTGCTTTCATTTTTATATGGGTTACTGCTGGACTAACAGGTTTGTTTTCGGAAGGATTGCCTACAACAAGATTGCTACACTTCTCAAGTCATTTAGTTGTTTCAGGGACTTGATTTTACTTGACATATTAAATGGCCACAGTGGGGAACCACTTTCAAGATCAGTTCCAGCAATTTGACAACTCAGCCAGTCCCTGGTTGCGGTCAGGTCTTTAACATTGAGATAATTACACAGCAGTGAACCTTACCACACAAGGTTTGTTGGTAGTTTACTGCCTTGTGGGAACAGTTTTGAGTGGCATGGGTCACAATACCCAGGACCTGGTGGTCTTTGCATAAGATTACTGCATTCTCTAAGTCCCACAGCGACTGTGGAATGAAAACAGTTAAATACACCAGTGAAAGAACTGGACATTAATCAATGCCATCATAATCTTTGAATATCCATCTAATATACATCAATGACCAAAGTTAACAACTTCTGTTTTGATTGTAGGTGAGGGTATACTGCCAAATGTGAAAACAAGAGCAAAGGTGATGTAAATCAAGGAGTAGTGGACACCAGAAGGAAGGTTTGGTACCTCGCACACTCTTGGAGTATTAATTTGCTGCATTAAAAGATTTAATATCTGCAACATTACAAAGATGCATGGAATCCCTTGAGAGCTTATTGAAGGGAAACACAATCCGAAAAGAGGACAGCAACGTACATCAAAAAGCCAGAAAAGATACAGAAACATAGAAAATAGGGGCATGAGTAGGCTATTCGCTGCACCCCCCAAGCCTGTTGAGCCCGCTCTGCTGTTCAATACAATCATAGCTGATCATCCAACTGTCTCCTGTTCCTGTTTTCTCACCATGCACTTTAATATCATTAGCCTTAAGAACTATATCTAACCCATCCTTGACCACCACAGTCACTATACCTTGGCACAGTATATAGAAATTGAACTGTTATGATCCCAGTTGATGATATTGCTGGACAAGTCAAATCCCAGAATGAAATCTGGCTTGACAGATCATATGGCACTTTTTGTTAGTTAATGTGGTAGTTAATCACTGAGGCATATTCACATGAGGCTGTGACTTTCTTCAACCATAAAACAGAAGTTTATTAAACAAAAACAAAAAACCTAAATACATACCACAGTTAGAATGATCTCCAAACACACAGCGATACTGTTTCCTGATACTTTCTGTTACAAAGTTTTCGGTTCTTGACTGAAACCTTCCAGGTTATTTGTTGTGGACCGTGGAAACAATTCAATGAGTCCTTTCCAAGTCTGCCAACATGAATTTTTCCACAAATCCAAGACCTAAACGTTCTCAGTTCTAATAATCTGCAGGTTTCTAACCAAGTTCTCCTGAATTAGATGTTTCACAAACTAAACTCCTCTGCTGATGTAACTGGTTCCCTTGAACTGCTTCCAGGAGAGAGACAAAACTGGCTTCAAAGCTCAACACTGCAAGATGGTGGTAGAGTAGGAAGCTCCCGTTGGAGCTCGTCTGCTCATCAGTCCCTTTCCCTTTCCCTTCTTTTTTCTCCTCTTCATAGCCTTCCTTTTCTTACCCTCCCCCCACCTCACCCTACACGGACAAGGGAGAGAACGGGCCGTGTCCCGCGGCGGAGCCCGGCAAACGGGCCGTGTCCCGCGGCGGAGCCCGGCAAACGGGCCGTGTCCCGCGGTACAGCGGAGCGAACGGGCCATGTCCCGCGGCACAGCGGAGCGAACGGGCCGTGTCCCGCGGCGGAGCCCTGCAAACGGGCCGTGTCCCGCGGCGGAGCAGAGCGAACGGGCCTTGTCCCGCGGCGGAGCCCTGCAAACGGGCCGCGTCCCGCGGCGGAGCCCTGCAAACGGGCCGCGTCCCGCGGTGGAGCGCAGGAATTACAAGCGGAGGTCTGCAGTGGAGCGAACGGGTGATTTCCGGAGTGGCGGCAGAGCAAGTCGTGGATGGAAGCCGGCATGTGGAGGCAGCATGTCCTCATGCTCTGGGGCGTGCAGGCACGGACTGGAACTTAAGTACTTATGGTCACTTATTATCATTCTGAACTGTTTCACTGTTTCATGCTAATCTATATTCTGTTTTACTTTGTAACAGCACATTTTTTACCCTGTAAGATTTATACCTAGGTACTTGTACCTAAGATTGTGCCATTAAAGGCAGTCATTGTAAAAACTTTTCACAGTACTCCTGCACTTCTGTACTGGAGTATATGTGACAATAAAGGATATTTTATTCTATTTACTGGCATCTTCTGAACTGAATAACTTGCTTCTGAACTGAATAAAAGAAAATTTGCTCAGGTTATATTCTTCTGAACTAAAAAACAAAGCTAATGGTCTGTAGTAGCTCGAAAAGCTCAGCAGGTCTGGCAACATCTGTGAAGAAAAATCAGAGTTAACGTTTTGGGTCCGATAATGAGTTCTGAGGAAGAATCACTCCACCCAAAACATTCACTCTGATTTTTCTTCACAGATGCTGCCAGACTTGCTGAGCTTTTCCAGCAACTTCTGCTTTTGTTCCTGATTTACAGCATCCGCAGTTCTTTCGGGTTTTTTTTTTCCCTAACAGTCTGTTTATTCCGCCTGTGCCACTATTGTGAAATTCAAACTCCAGAAATGATATTAACAAATATAAATTACATACCTCTCAACATATAATGTACAATACTTCTTAGGTCTCTGTTAAGAAGTTGTCTATTGGGTATTTATCCTGCACTCCTGCATGAGGGGAGGCCTAGTGGTATTATCCAGAGACCCAGGTAACGTTCTGCGGACCTGGGTTCAAATCCTGCCATGGCAGATGGTGGAATCTGAATTCAAT